GTACTAGAAAATGATCAGCGATATTTTAAAATTAGATTTATGGCAATAATTGTGGCCTCGACAGTAGAATTACTACTACTTCGAACATTTTTAAGGACTGAATTCAAGAAGAATATTTGAGAGTCAACTGTTTATTAAATCTACCGTGTAATTGAACTTTGTTTTGTTATTCAAGAAAGGTTAACTTGAAGGTTTTCCAAGAAAATTCTGTCCTCTAGTTGCAGCAAATTATGTCAATCAGCAAAACTAAAGAATAATCTGAACGAAGCGAATTAACAATGTTTAACAATCTGACAATCCAAGAAGATTCGATAGATTCAGCCTGTTTATTCACATCATTTCGAGCATACCATTGTTACTGTTTGTAGCCAAAATCAATTGTTCAGTTTGGTGAAGTAAATCAGAAGTAACGACTTGGTAGTATCACTAATTATGAACTTGGGTTACGTTTCTATCACATAAATAGAATTCCAGTATATGCCTCAACCATAGTTGATCATAAGAAATTACCATATACCTGTTCTTATACCGAATAGCATTCAAGGTTTAAGGATCTCAGTATTATCTCAGTAGGGAGATTGAAGAACCATTGTCCTGAAATAAGCCGAATGATATTTATTAACGTGTGATCATCATTGTTTGTACTATTCACAGTCATGTATTCAGCCACCATGTAATTTATATCACATATATGCCCCTGTTTGTAATATCAGTGATAGTACATTCAAGAGTAATGTATCCACATCACACTTTGAAAGTATACATTCAAGAGATCTGTGTAAGATCCTTTGCATACTGTTATGTAGGTCATTAAACGATTGTAGAATATTGAAGATTCACATGGTGAAAGTTAGAATAACACACAAGCATACAATGCTGTTTTCGATTAGATCGTCATCAGGCTTTACTCCAATATACATGAATATTTCGGTGAAAATATTAAACCAATCAAGTCATTTTGAGTCATTGATCACAATGAAACGAAATAGATTACGTCACTACACACAATATAGGTAAAGGTTCAAGTTGATATTCGGAAGACAAGTGACCATTATCAACCAAATGAGCGAAGATAGAACTGCGTTTTGACATTAACTGGACCATTCATAAACCATACTGGAAGGTGTTTACTCATTCGTTATTTAAGTTGAGTGGTAGTACGCCCGATATAGCTATTTTCAAAGGCGCAGCTGAATTTGTAAATGCACACTAGAGGAGGCCGACTCAGATAACTTTACCTTTGTTTGGGTAGACATCACTGGTCCAGTTGAGAAGGTCAACTCAAGTTCTATCAATTACTTTCGTGATTATGTCCTGCACAGTTTCACAGGCCACATCTCCGTTGAACAGTTGTTTAATGAATAAAGATTTCTTTCGAACTGTCGCAGTCTCCGACTTCTTTTTACATTGACCATGTACTTCTTCAAAAATTGACAACTGGAAGCTGGTGATACATTACAGCTTCTGAAATAAAGTGTCAACTGAACAGATCATTTTCGCAGTTCTAGTGAGACATTTAACCAAATTTCTCTTGTAACGAATAGGTGTAAAAGTATGAAGGTAAGTGTATTAGCAATCAGTGAGACTTTTTCTGTGTACGCTTCTACTTAGTGAGTCATCACAAAGCCTGCTATGTATGATGTAAAGTAGGGTCAGCATTTTATCATATCCCTCTTCACCAGTGAAAGTGATTGCCGGGAGTATTTTGTTGAATTGTTATAGGAGTTTTTGTTTACTGATATTCTGATCTACAATGATGAATGTGTCATCGACGTACTGGCAATATAGATCAAGTTTCGCAGTAGTCTCATTAAATGGTCAATTTTCCAGCTTTGCTAAGCAGAGATCAACTAGAATTGGACCTGAAAGTGGGACCATGTTTATCCCTATCTATAAGTATTGTTGAAGACGAAATTGTACGTTCATCGTACATCTTAAATGGCCAGCTCTTTCATGTAATCCTCAGTCTAAACCAGCTGTTGATTTGTTCGTACAAATGATTTGTGCGAAGGCGCTAATATTCGCACTATCAACTTTGCAGTTTTGTGGTACGGAGAATTGCATATATCAAGAACTGGGAGTAGAGGAATACGTGATTTATGAACTTTAGGCAAACCGTACAATCGCTGTGTATTTGATTCAGTCAGTTTATTTGAGTCATGAATGGCTGACGAAATTATTTCCTTAAGAGAATTAACCAATTTTTTTCTACTTATTTACGGATGTTATTATTACTAGTAACAGTTTGAATTTTACTGGGATCACTAAGCATTCCTTCCATTTTATCAACGTAATCGGTTTTGTTCATCCGAACAATACCTCCTACCTTCTCTGGTTTGCTAATGATCAATATCTCATCTTTTTTTCCATTGTTGACAACTATTTACTAGCGTGATCTTAATCCTAGATAGATCCTCAACTGAGGTAGAGATCAGGTGAGTTGTTTGTGAAAATAAATTCTAGAACTGTATATCAGTATCTAGTTGCTTGATTTCATTGCGAATATCGCGATTACGTTGAATGATACAATGTCTGTTCTTTTTGAATGCAAGTGTCATGTTATTAGAATATCAGTTGTTTCAGCATTTAAGTTTTCCTAAATGAGTACCATATTTTCAAATACAGTAATATCTTATCATTCAAAGTGAAAAGTGGAATGTGCTTTTAGTGTATGCCAGTGCTCAAATGAAAACTGACGGTGATTTTATTAATTTTTGAGTTAGATTCAAATAGATCTCACTCATTTCTGTGAATTCCATGGCGCTTACTTTCTCCACAGACTGGAATTGAATTTGAAAATAATGTCGATTGGTAAACTTCCTAACTTTCAACTGACGATCACTAATTGGCAAGCAGGACTATCTTCAGTTTCTACTATGTAATTATGGAGTAATCACAATTCAAGAATCCTCGTTAAATGATTTACATGAAGGCTGTTTAATGTCACTAACTACATGGTTTCAATTTATCGTCACGATCAAGCGATAATATAAAGTATGTCGCTAGTGAAGCGAAATTTATAAATATAAATCGGTGTCGCTCTAATTTTGTATGTTTTAACCTTTCAAACGACTTTATAGACTGACTGACTGACTTCTCTAAGATGCCGTCCAAAACCTGTGAATAAGTACAACTGTATTTATGGTACCAACATTCATATTGCTCCGGACTGTAAATCACAAGTGCTATCGGTTTTCGTAGTAGAATTTTATTGTCTTCAGTGGTTCTCTTTTCTCTACATGTGGTGATTTTAGTTATTGTGACTACAGCTTTTGCTCATCACCACGTCACTATAACAAAGTAGATTTTTCCACTCGTTCGGATTGACAATTAGACCTAGTTCTCGTGAATGATAAGGGGAAACATGTGACTCGTAAACGTGCTTCATTACTTATTTCGGATGATTTTATTGTTCGTATCCTACTCAAAATATATAACCAGCTTTGGAAGAGTACAAACCTAAACCAAACGAAGAAAGTTAAATACAGGAGTTACTCAGTAGAAGATATCCAGTACCGGAAAAATATGCTTTGTACCACAGACTGGAATTTATCTACAAATGAGTTATTGGAGAGCATGATTGATATTGTTGCAGATTTGATGTCTATCGTCCACTCAATGTTATAGTTTTGGGTTTTGACTAATTTGCACCACAGTGACTGACATGATGACGGATGGTAAAAGAATATTCACGTGGAAAAACTCCATTGAATTCCGAACACTAAATGGTCTAATGAGCCCCTAAAATTCCAACTATTGGAAATTTTTTGATAAATTCAGCGTCAAAGGTCATTCCTCATGATGTATGCTTTTTGTTTGATCTCATTTGGCCTTCTCACATTTTATTGATGATGGAGAGAGCTTCGCATCTAATCGATTACATCAAAAGGTTAGTTGATTCTGGCATTCACCTTTACGATTAGTAAATCCTTGTACACTGACTATTATTTTTAAAACTCCTCCTCAGGCTATACTATTAAACGTATATATTGTAGGCGATGAATAGCTTTCTTAAGCATGAAGCTTATTCAAATTTTGTATAGATTTTTTTCAAAAAATATTTGACTGAATCCCAGATAGTTTATCTGCTCATTTTAAGCATACGTGAATGCAGTTATTGATTGTTTCGTTGTAAAATAAACTTATCGGAATACTTTGCGGTTTGGTATTCCATATTGTTTCAAAATGATAACACTGAGCGAAACCATTGGTAACAATCATAATTTATATGACGGAAAGCGAGATTGATTCTGATTAGTCTTATATATTTGCATTTAAGCCATAGTTTGCCAAGATGTTGTAATTGTCCTATAAAGGATCCTTATTGAATTCGGTTGCGCACTATCAGTGAAATAGCTGTATCACTATGGGCATCTGATAATTTTTATAACGACTCGTATACTGCAGATGAGAAGATATGTAACTCATCGCATTTTATGTAATGCCCGTATAAATCAGAAACATACCCTATCAAAACTGGCATAAATTCGTCACCTAGATTTTTTGATAACAGCAGAATATTGTGACAAACTGTTTCCATACACGAATATCTGTCGAACAAATTATGTCTTCATATTCTTTTAGAAAACTGTCTATTTGTTAGTTATATTCTGGGTTACTCAATCTATCGGCAATCACTTTGATATCGATATGGGATAAGTCTAGTCATGGTGAGAAGTGATTTTTCAGTGATTAGTTAGGTTTGTGACCTAATTTGACTGTATGCTTGAGAACTGAACTGCACCAGAAAATGATATTGTGAAAAAGGCTTTCTTCATAGAAAACCAGTGTGAAAGCTGTTCATTGTTGACACAACTCCAGTTATATACAATCTGAACTTCCTCAAGCACATTTTTTCTATTTGAAGGGATCTATTTACTGTTCGGAATCGTGAGCATAACTGATGCACAAGAATAAACTTTTCAGGTCTGTATAGTTTTGTCAGAAAGAATCAAGCAATTTCGACTAACCTTCTTGGGATAAAGTTTAAAAGTCAAATGTTTGAAATACTCGAGACGATTAACATTATTTTTTGGAGGTTTAATAACAAACTTCATTCTAAATACAGTAGTTTCATTTTAGAAAGATAAGCTGTTAGTGTTTCTGTGAAAAAAATAAGAGAACAAAATTAACGAAATTTAGAAATCACTTCATATCACGCAGTAAACAAATGATGCAAATCTACTTACTAACTACCAGTTTTCACAGCTGGTTACATGATAGTTAAGGCATTTATTCCTATCCATTATTGTGGTATATGGCACAACATGTGGGTTAGCCATAGTAAGGTGTTTGAAATTGTACTAAATTCTCCGACAAAATCGTGCATAAATGGATAAAAATTTCGGAATAATTTTCTCAAATTTATTTAGCTGAATTTGTAGGTAATTTTTGATTGAAAATAAGGATACAAGGAATACATTTGAAAGGGTATTTTAGAAATTCAGCTAATTTATATGCATCGATCTAATATTCGCTTTGTCAGTCAGAATGTAAGTCAACGCTTTATGAATAACGAAGATTTTCCGTTCTCGAATGACTTATAAATCAGACCTGCAATTCATTCAGGTCTAAGAAATCTTAGTGGGACAAATGTATTTATATGTATAAATTGATAAACGGTAGTTTTAGGTCTTACTGTTAATATAACTATGTTGGAGGAAATCAAGAAAAACTCTCGATCAATTCAGTGAACAACAACAGCATATCATTGAAGGAAAACATAATTGTCAATTTGAGATGAAATTTTCCTGACAATTGTCCAATAGTGTCCAGTGATTCGTGTGAAGTATGCAAATATGCAAAGTCACACAAAACATATGTGTCTATACATAACTTTTCGTTGATGTAATAACACCGTAAATTAACTAACATCAAATTAAATCGGTCAGTCATCAGGAAATTAAATCATTAATTCTAACAAATGAACTGCGAAATGAAAACATTTATTTCACGTAAATGAAAAGTTGACTACTAATTGAGAACTCACTTCTTTAAAAGAGTAAATGGATCTTTACAAAAAAGCATATTTGTTATGTTGTTAGACAATGTTTATGTGTTTATTACTGATATATTTTCTTGTTAAACTATGAAACACCCATTCATTTTTGAAATCATGCATCTATCATTGTTAGAGCAATATTGAAACCCTTGCAACACTGGAATGCCGTTCCCTCCAAGTATGTGACTCATCAGCAGTTCTTATCAAAGTTAGATATGAACGCCGTTACACACCGGTCCAGTGATGTAGAGGTTAGGCGATCGAATGTAAGACTGAAGGTGGTGAGTTTGAACTATGCCTGTTGCAGGAGTTACTGATGCACATTGCAGATCAGTCCCGTTATGAGGAGGAGAATGGCCACCCCAGTGCATCCAGGTTTCTAATGGTACTCTAACATTGATCGATTGATGGCTTTCAAATGTCACTCGACCATTTCAAGTAGATTTGATCAAGGCCATGATATTGATTAGACTGATCTTTCTTTGGAATACAGCTGTGTTGAGATTTGTTATACGTTTGTCTGAAACGTGAAACGTTGGTTCGGTTGAATGTTATGCAATCATCATGTATTTTGTTTGGAAACAGTTTGCGAAGCTAAACAAAAGCAGATCAGATAGTTGTGTGGTATTTTGTCATTTCAGTTAGTAATAAGAATGCAGAATATTTCAAAATCTCGTTTATTCACATGTAAGTTCATATCATGAGAAGTTTGTTTAGCGTACTTTACTGTTTGACATTTGAACTTTTCATCTTGTAAGTCTTGCTATTTTATTGTACTCTGGATATCATCGAGAGGTATTCAGTATCATTTGAAATTTCTCCTCTTGTTCATTGGTCTACACAAACAACTACTCAAACCGACATTGTGATAAATTTATTTGATGATGTAGAATAATTTTGATGAAAAACGGAATGTAATTAGATTTCACATACCTGGACAAAAACTGGTAAATCCTAGTAAACCTATAGATTGGTCAAAAAAGCCAAATCAACATTGAATTACAAAGACTGAGTATCAATCAATATTGTGTAAACTGTTTGTGATGCAGATGAAAACACTTAAAAACAGGATGTTGATGCTTGAAATATTAACCTGTTACCACGCTTGATGGCAAACATGTGGTTGCATGTGGAAAAACTCGACATGGATTATTTTTATAAATGGTTATTATGTAAACTTACATAAAAAAAGTGAGGAGTCAGTTGATGGTAGCCATAGGAGATCTAGAAATATACGATTTCATTTAATACAGCGTGGTAATGCTTCATCAAGCATAACTTTACTGGACAGACTGTCCCTTTATTATCTAGAGAAACATTTGATTGAATCTTTCGACAATACGTTTAGGTATAAACGTTGATCCAACGGACAAATTACTGTCATTTTTGAGTTGTAAAACATAATAGCATACTATTAGCATTCTGATTGATACGAGACTAAATGCCGACGAAGGAAAAGTTTTTTATGTGTGATAGAGATAAACAGGCTCTTAGATAACTCAAATGCAGCATCACTGATCCAGTGAACAGTTAGTTAACACAGTAAATAGATAATTACGTACAAGGATGCATGTGTAAAAATATGTACAAATATATATAAATACTTCATACATACAGTAGCCTTACATAGAATGAACAAGACATTTGTCATGTACAGAATATTCATTCTCATTTCGTTGCATTGATGAAATTCTAAATGATTTATATATATAGATATATACAGATGTCTAAATGTATGTATCTACACAGTGTATTTTCTTATCGACCATATCTTATACGTTTAATTGGTTCACAGCAATAATTTGATTTTCTTGCATAAACATGTCAAATCGACAGTGATATTTCAGTGCAAACCTGAATAGAATATAATCGGATTGCAGTTGAAATGTTGATTGTTAATTATCACAAACTACATGATCTGTTTAATATGTATAATGCGTTTATTGCATTGAATTCAATTGTAAAATGAAGTAGTTGTCTGATATGATAGAAGGTGCGTAGAACAATAAACAAATTGTGCACACATACAAACACATTTTAAGTTATTTCATATTGATACATTTTGTCTATGATCAATATGGTGTATGAAATAATTTTAATAAACAAATAACAACGATAATTTAAGCAACATTAACGATTAAAGATTTTAGATTTTGCCTCAAATTATTGCTTGTATTGCTTAGCATCAATAGAAAGTTTTATGAGTTGAATTTTATCAAGGATTTGACTGAAACAATGTAATCTACTGCAACATTATGATATATCTCATTGAAATTAATTCTATTGATATCACTGTTTGTTCCCGCCTTCAGTATGTTGTTACTGATGATGTCCGATCAATGGATCGTCAGTATCTTGCGTAGATAACATTTAATAAACACGTTTTTGAATTCCTTCTCTTACACAATGAATTTGATGCATAGTGTTGCATTCTGTATAGCTCACTTTTCACAATGATCCATCGTGTCAGTACGTGATCGTTATTACGGAATACAGCCTGCTGGTCTCGAAGATGGGGGACTACGGAATCTTTCATTCAGTAAAACAACACATTTTTGAAGACCTTCCCTGGTATCGAGAGTACAGTGGTGCCTCTGTCATTTTTACACTTACTCAGATATTCATTAGTGAGGTGTCATTCTTTCAAATCTGTTGGTACTTGTTCTTCATCCCTAGTCTCGCCAAACAGAGTGTGTAGCATCTTCTCAGTTACTATTACGTCTGATTTAAGTGCATAAGCTGTTGTGCTGTCTGTTCCTGCTACTTTGTCATACTTGATTTTTCTGATGTCAATGCTGATTTCTGAGAGTGTTGGTGGGTCGATATCGATTCGATGATCCGCAGGTGCTGCTAGGTTGGAGGGTGCTTTCAGTGGAGCTCGTCAAGTGTTCTTAAAAGTGCTCTACCCACCTGTTTCGCTGTTCTCGAATGTCAGTAATTATTTTGCGTATCTTGTTTTTGACGGATTACTCTGGTTTATGATATTTTCCAGCAAGCTTTTTCAATGAATTCGTGTTTCTTATTCTTGTATCTTTTTCCGCCATCATTGCTGGATCTTCCACATATTTACTTTTGTCAGCTTTGATGGTCCTCTTCACTTCCGTGTTTGCTCATGTGCATTAGACTTGTGCCTTGAGTTTCTGTGCTCTTGTTTGACTTATATCGATTGTTGCCTTCTTGTTCTTCCTTTCTGGTATCTGATCCAGTGTACTCAAAGAGATCCATCCCTTTTGATTGTACTTCTTGTCGTCCAAAACCTCATTAAATACTGACGTTATAGTTTCTTTGATCCGTTACCAGCTGTTCCGTATCGCAGTTTCCAATCAGTTGAGTAGATCGTGAGGGGCTTGGAACTTATCACTGAAAGTCCACCTTTAATTTGTTGATTTGGCCAGTATCTTGAAGAAAGGCCGTATTCAACGTTTGTGATGCTATTTGCCCCGTTGTCCAGTGCTTCTTTAGTTTCCGTTTCTTCTTGGTTACTACCAAGTGAGCACTAACGAAATTGTCTGGAGTAACATCGAAAACTCATCAATTAAACTATCGTGCACAAAGAAAGCGCCACCACTCAGCGATAGGTGTTTATCCCCTTGAACCACCTAGTTGCCAAACAGAAGTAAAGCAGAGTGGTGTTCCATCGAATTTGTGACTAAAACTTAACCACTGAGCTACTGTCAAGTTAATTCTTGTCATAATTAGTTGAGATATTTACTGAATTCTATCCTTATAAAAGTATTACTAAGTAATTTATGTTATTTGCTCGTATGTCACATTTTGTTGGTTTCTGAAATCAAACTATTTTTTTTGTTAAGAAAAAGGGTTAGTTGATTACTTCCTGACTTCCAGTCATTTGATCAATGAAAGCCAGCATTTAATCGCATATTTCATGATATTCTGAAAATAATTATGGTGAGTCACAACTCACTGAATAATATCAATTAATGTATGTAATTGTTAAATCTATCGTTTGTGAAAGTAATAGTTAGATGATCGTTTAAATTGAAAGAGTTGAATTAAGCTTCAACTCGGTGATCCATTGTTTCAATGGGTGGCCGACTGTTATTCACAACATTCTGCTTAAGTGGTTTGATTTTTTGGCATAAAAGATTTGTTGAGATTGTTGAGTTTTATAAGGCACATAAATGGACTGACTTCAGTCGGGAAATCATTTTAACAGCGAGAAGGAACTGAACAAATGTTTCATCCTTTGTATAAGACTTATCATTGTGGCGTCTGCACAACTGTAGATGAATTCATGGTTTCTCTCATCACTGGCCAGCTGCCTTATTCCCAATATTGATTAGTCTTCTTCATTGTTAAGAGGACTGCAGGAATCATTTCTCTAACTTAATGGTATAAAAGATTGAAAAAGAGAAAAACTAGAGCACATTCATCGCCTTGATTTATTCAAATTTGAATTTCTGATTTAAACAAAATTATATATAGACACATATACATGTATATCATAGAATTTCATTTACGTAATAACTTTTTTTTATTTTCAATTGTCAATAAAAACATTTCAATAGATTTGTGTTTGTTTTCTCTAGAATTTGACAAAACAAAACTGATTGTAAACTACTAACCAGCAAAACAGTGAAACACCCTAAACACAATAGTACTTTTTTTCTGATGATTGAGGTTTTCTTATGTCTTATGTTTGTGTTATTGTCGGGATAATGTTAGTTATTTAATTACAACATTATTTACTATTCAGTTGACAGAGTGAGACTTAATTAAGCACATTCATAATTTAAATTCATTAAAAAAAAATTAAAATGTTCAAGTAATTACATTGAGAAAAATCGATATGAATTGTGGCAGCGGTATATCTTAAACTCCTAAGTCAAACAACGTGACTGATTAATTGATTTTATAGTGCTATATCAAAAGAGCTTGTTTAAAAATTCATGTTCAATCACTGATATCTTGTCCTAACAAAATGTCCATATCGAAAGTGATAAATAATAAGCCTATAAATGAATTAATTTGATGATTTTCACCGATTACTTTTATTCTCGGATAACTGTATTAACAGAGCAACAGTATTCTATATGATAATAATAATAAGATTATTATTAGTATTAAGCCGGTGTTATAGTCCTTCTATGAACTAAGAATTCAGTAAATAAATGCACAAACACAGACGATGATATGCTTACTCATACTCAAAGGAGAAACTTGAAAGTGGTCATAATATTTGGATATCCAGTTTTCTATATATATATTACTGCCAGCCTTTACTCCCCAGCTAATAATTCACCGTCAATAGAACATCAACTAGTTTTAGAGTAGAAATTGTAAGATTGTGCACAGAACCTCGGAGCGATTTAGTTATTGTTAAACTTACATTTCATTGAGAATGTCATTGCGAAAGATTTCGGTGATCATGGATTAAATTGAAATACCGATAGTAGTCTTTTATAATATGATGAAATCTTGAGGTGCGGTGTTGATCACAGTGGCTTCCCACACCAACGAAACATGATAATATATCAGAGATAATATTCTGTTCAGATATCATTCAACTATCTATATAACTATGCAGTGAATTCAAGAGTGTGTACCGTAAAAATAGTAGTTGGTAATTTCCCTATCTTCCCCAATTATAGACTTCCTATACAAAAGCTTAACCAATATACAGAATGCGTATTTATAGACTGGGAATTCCTACATACTGTGGTAAGATAATTAGTTTGGGATATTTTCTTCTCGAGCCGTAATATCATTGAATACTACTGATATATTATGTCAGACCACTAGCTTGTGTTTAAATTCTTTCGCATCTCTGAAAACCTCCAAGACTCAAGTCTCACAAATTATTTGTACCAGCTGATGGATTAAGATATCTGAAGAAGCGTAAGTTTGAGTGAAACAGTTGTAGCTTATAAATAGATTAAAGAAATTCAAGGATCGAAGCCATGAATACTTTGTCATCGCCTAATAATCATTCAAAAATGCAAAACGTAATTCTCATTCTAATTAAAAGCGCTAAGATAAACCATGCATCTTGTTCAATGACATGTTTATCAGTGACTATAGGACCATGGTAAATCATTTTGTTGGTAGTTTTGTAAGACGATAATGAGTTTCTAAAAAGCAGCGGTTCAAAAGTCACGAATGTGACAAGTAACTTCACAGAATCTTTTTTCATTTATTTAATCGTTTGTAAAGCTATCAACTACCTTAAAGCTTCAAACAATCATGCAGTAAACGGGATTCGATCCATTTTCTTCAAAAATGGTGATTCTAGCATACTGTTATCTTTTCCAAAACTACTTAATTTCTCTCTGAATAAAGGATCCTACCCTTGCTGTTGGATAATCGCATACATGATACCATATTGCATATTTGGAGGTAAAACTGTCAAAATAATCATGTTTACATAACTCGTACATCAGTTATTTCCAGGATCTTAGAGAAGACTGTTGTTTAGTTAACTTTCGGACAATTTATTCACCGAAAAATTTATCGTCCATTCAAAATGTGATTTACTTGAAGCTCTATTATGTTTGACATCCTACTTGGACTTTTTAATTTAATCTTTATTATACATAGTCTAAGACATTTCTAAAGTTGGCCAACAGCTTGTGCTGGAATACAAAAGCTCTCAAAATAAGCAGTTCTGTAAGTCTTCGACAGCGATGCTGATTCTTATAGTTTAACTGAACATACCCTAGGCTGAAGACGCACATTTGCGCATTCGCAACAGATAAAATTTGAGTGCGCCATACTACTCATCCGTCATAACAGATAACCATTTCAGATTGTCAACTTCATGACATAATAATTATCTTTCAAACCTATTTTCAAACTCCCTCATTTTTGACTTCTAGTTTGGCCGTGTTACAGACAAAAGCGTTCCTAAGCGTTGATTATTTTTGATATCTTTAGTGGTGAGTTCAACGTAATCTGGCACACAGGACGATAATCTGTGACTCTGTTCTTCGTTTTAACGTCGAATTACTTACTGTAGCGTGAGTATATCCAAACTTAAATCACATTTTAAGTCAAGAAAATGTATGTTAGTAACCGCTTAAGATTCAACTGCAACTAAAATCATAAAAGGCTACTAACTGAAAAATATCTAGGTCTTTTTAATTACAAGAGTTAGCTAAAATGGCAAACAAGTAAATAGAGGAATTTTCGGACTTAATAAAAGTGTCTACTGGTTTACAAAATTATCTATCAATAATCGAAGCGTTTCGTCGATATATACAAGATCAGTTATTGTTAGAGGAGCACACATGATCAAGTGTATTCCGAGCAACCGCTCACTTTTGAACAAAAAAAATAGCGATTTCATGGAAATGACATATAAACTTATGAAGCTTCACCTCTAGATCAGAAACTCTGTATACTCAGATTTGTTATGAAGAATAGTTCTTCATTAAAGCATACGGTCATCGGAAAACGTAATATCCTAGGCAAGGAGTATGCATGAACTAGTAACCAAGAGATAGATAAAGGACTTTCTTCAAAACGTTCATGAATTGACTTGAATGTATTCTGGTTATTTAATTTGCTTTCTGTATCTTCAAAGAGAACGATTTATGCAAGAGTGTTGCAGTAACCTTAATGTACATTGTAACCAACTACGTTAATTAATTTCGTAATCTGCAAAAGTTAATTTTCATACTACAATTGCTAGAAGTACAACGTAGGTTCTTATGACCGTTCAGTGTTACTAAGAAATTCACCTCGACCAGATTAACATTATTCTGGTGTATATTGATGAAAAACTGCTCTCAGTGTGAGATAATTTAGCTAGAAAAATCAATAAAAAAATTTGACAGAGTATTCCACCGATAAATCATTGATTTGCCGTGAAGTATAAAGTATTTTCATTATTTTTACTGTCTACTGTCTATTATTTAGTAGTGAACATAATCTTGATATTTTACAATCACTTAAAATGACTGGGAATATTTGTTATCCTAGATAGATAACTCTAGATAACTCAACATGTACTCACTAGTGACTAGCTTTGTAAGGAAATTCACGGGGTTTTAATGAGAAGACTTGACAAGTGGAGCTCAACCCTGTCGGATGTAGGCAGTAAATACCGAAGACAAGTGAGTGAGGTCGCGCGAAATTCCTAGACTGATCAGAGTTAGGCATTAACACTGATGGATGTTGACCCAGTGGTCCAGAGGTTGGACGTTCGCGCGCAATCCGAACGTTGCATTCGTAGGTTGCAGTCTTGTCATACACCACAATCTATTTCAACACATGTTTCACATTCATGTTTTATGAGGATTGTTTTCACTTGACCAATGTTATTCGTAACTTTGTATGTTGAATGAGAAGAAATATTTCTTGAAACGTTTTTATTATTAATAATTTACTAGAAATACAATTTGCGGTTGAGAATGTAAACTAACATCGTTAAATATGAATAATTTTAAATGGACGTTGACGAAGATTTCAAATTATTAACCTTTGAGAAATGAAAAATTGAATTAATACCTTTCTTAGTTATAATTGTGTAAAGCTGTCAACAGATGTTTTAATATGAAGAATTAACATTGTGCAAATTGCACATTGTAGTAGACATGGTATTGAATCAGGAATGAATGGTTATAATAATAATAATAATAATAATAATAATAATAATAATAATAATAATACTTTTAGAAAACTGAGTACATATATGCTGTTCAAATATACAATTTGTATATTCACACAAAAATTATATAATCTTCTAACATTGTCTTAACAAACCTAATTAAACTTACTTAAAGGAGGGACTAATGAACAAAAAGGTTGAATGTATAAATATATACCATAGCTGACTTGATTGCACTCATTTAAATGACAACAAAATCTATTCGACTGTCAGATTATAACACAGCTTATTACTATTGTTAACTTTCGCAGAGCTTCTATGTTAATCTTATGTGATTGATCGAAATGAAGCGATATTCTGTCATAGCTTGAAGACATTTTTTCCTATGTAGAAAGCATTCACAACATAACACACACATGTAAAATAAACATTTATGTAACAAGTTGTAATAATATTTAGTTCAAATAGATTTTAGCTTACTTAACGATGAACTGGAAAACAATGAATTTCACACAATCAATATACATATTATGCACATAAATGAACTGTAATTTTACAGCTGAACTTGAAAATCATATGTTTTGCACTGTAAATTGGTAGGTAGAATAATCAGAGAACCAATTTACTATTTTACGAAACGAAATACTGAACATCTCATTCCTAATCATTATTTCAGGGTAATACGAAATGAATATTTTTAATCTAATTGTAGTTTTATTATAAAGGTTATTTTTAAACGTACACTTGAACATGAATCATTATTCTTGAAATCGTACATCCCTATGTTTACATGTCTATAGATGATTTGATAACATGAATCTTAATTAGAATTGTACACTGGCTTGTGTATTTAATTTTTACTAATGAATTTCTATTTTCAACTAACAACACGTCGTCAGCATATGAAAAGGTGACTGTTGAAATGATACTTCTCTTAGATGTATCTGTCCAGCTAGATCGGCGGCTGCAAACTAGATACTATTATAACGATCCATATTATATGGTGTACATAGAATGTACTTGTTACATGGGCTGTAGTGTTTTGTCAAACTCAAAGACAATTTTCGCCACAAACTGAATGCACCAACTGAGTCATCGAAGATCAGATGTTCGATAATATTAGGTGATGAATATAATTACTACACTTATCAGAGATGATGAATAACGAACTACAGTTTGCATAGTATCAATACAGACGTATAGATAACTTATTTACAAAATCAAAGCATGTGTCTTTATCAATGTACAAATATCATGATAACTGATCAGTAAAAGGAGCTTACTTCGCTATAAGGTGTAACACTGACAGGCGTAAAAAGAAAAGATCATGCTTTTCATGGAGTTCATCATAAAAATATTAACATCCAGATATGAAAGTGTTCAGATTGTACTTTAAATCTGACTTATTACCAGAAAGAAAATTACAATGAACCATTCAGTGAATAAAAATACATACACGTCATTTAAATTGTTCGAAATACGTGAAAATATTGTTTGTAAATTCTTTGGTTATGATGGGAGCTTGTCACAGAAGAGAATTCTTACCATCAGTTATGCAATATTTTGACAAATCTATGTTCGATTTGGATTTAAGCTACAATTATTCATCAATGTTTACATTGAATACTCATCAGTATTCACTATCTGCTATACAACTGCAATCATCATTGTTAGTAAGACACAACTACGTTTTCTCTCCATCAATTACAAGAACTGTTAATTCCAGTGAATTCATCTCACGTTTCTCCAGATGATAAACAGTAATCAAAATATTGAAATTGATGCGATATTTAGCATTCCAATAATTTGCAGGAATACTCTGCGATAACACTCATGATTATTCAATGCAGACAAATCTTACACAGATAGATTCATTGCATAAATTGTACACATAGATCACAGATTCATTGAAGTATCGGTCAGGATAATTTTTCAAGTCTGTTTCAGTTTCCTTTAACTCAACCGCATATATCTAGTAATTAAACGTTTTCGTCGGAAAATAAAATAACGTCTCACACAGTGTCTATCAAATCAAAATATCTCGTTCACGAAATATGTAATTGTTCAGAAACAATGCAATAGGAAACAGGAAAATTTTTCGTTAATTACTAATCTGGCCAACATACTTGGACAAAATGGATTGCTAGGCTTAAAATAACCTATTGAAATTAAAAACAAACAAGCATTTTTGATACAGAAATATTTTATGCATTGATGTTCAGTATTCATTTAGAACATTTGTACACTTAACAATCACTTTCACTAGCAAATTCAAACAAATTTTCCAATACGGTTGGAATGATCTACCATTTTGTTGATTGTCGAAGGGTGTCGTTAAGGCGCTCTGTAGTTAATGAATACAACCAGTTCGCAATTTGTGATCTGCTAATATAAAATTCACCCAACTGCGTCACCACACATGCCCTCACCGGTAACCCTCAAGGTCAAATGAAAAGGGGAAGGCCAAGAAACACGCGAGAAATAGAGAAAGATATGAAAAGAATGGACACAAATTGGACAGAACTGGACAAAGAACCCCAGGACAGAGTAAGTTGAAGAATATTGTTCAGCGGCCTATGCTCTGTTGTGAGCTGACAGATGTAAGTATGTAAGTAAGTAATATAAAGTTAGAATTTATAATATGCTAATCGATATCATCAACAAAAATTACTTTCAAAATGTAGAGCTGATCATTATTGCACATAAATTTATGAACTAGATGCTTTCAATATTACTGATAGTTAGAATCATGAATAACTAGCTCCTTAATGACTAACTAAATCTACTACTGAACAATAACATCATCCCAATGCATGACATGTGTGAAAAGTATGTGAAGACAAATATTGCTTGATAGGAGTCTGGATAAACAAGGATTATTTATTTATTCTTCATAAAGCTTCTGCTGACTAACAATGAATTGGTGTTTCTGCACACATTTAACTAGACGTACCTAACCCGAAGGTGATTGCGGCAGATCGGAAGGAGATGAATTCGAACAACAACATTGTTTTCGTCTTCACCATAACCATTACTGTAATTTCACTTGTACCTCAAGGAAATATACATCTGTGCACTGATTAGTCATCAGTGCAACGAACATCATAGAGGGCTGTTCATTTACAGCTCCCTAATATCTATTTCCAGTGTTTGTATTGTTAAAACACTTTTCATGAGAATGTTACTTTCTGAAAGCTGTACACACTTTCCAAGCCATCATCGGAGATACGTGCCTATAATATTAATATTAAACCACATGGACTGCAATATATTATAATCATTAAAAAGGAGAATTTCGTAAACTTACAGAACCATTTGAAGAGAAACGATGCTTCGGTATTCTGTAAATACACAACATCTGAAAATGAAATCATGTTGATAGAGATTTAAAAAGTAACATTTTAAAAAGTTACATCTTCCACCAATAAAAGTGTAAAGTTGACGAGTAAACAAAGCAGACATGTTGGTTATTATGTGAATGCAAGAATAATTACAACAATACACTCAGAAACTCAGATGCTTTCTTACACACAGAAATAGTAAAAAATATACTCTGAATAATAAATTACACTGTCTTACTTAGAATGAACAATAGAGCTGTTAAATAGAAAATATTCATAGTGGTTGCTGATTTCGAACAAACATGCCTAAATCACCGCTTCACTTATATACCATTTGTCATCTCAAATCTCACTTGATACAATGTTTGTTAATTGGTCTACGCAAATAAGTGAATACTTCACACAAACATCACAACACACAGTAGTACAATATTGCTCAAAAATTAGTAGACAAATGGGTGAAGTAATTATCAAAATATTTGTCTGAAAACAAAGGTGCGACTTTATCATCTAAATGAAAATATTGTATATGTGTTGTAGGTGAATATCAATATTATTATGAACATTGCATTGTTGTTCTACTGTTGATAAATCTTCGTTCAAAACATGTTTATTCATTTTACAGATGTGTGGAAAATGCTGACAACTAATTCATATGTAATTTTCAATAGCTACTCTCAGTACTCTTTCATAATAATAAATAAAGTGAATTGTAAACAATTCAGGTACTTGAATCGTTTCAATGATAAAAAATTCTAAAACTTCTATCGTAAAATAAAATAGTAAATGTTACAGGGCGAGCAAGAACGTAGTGTGTTAGATTTCATGTTCAAAATAAATGCGATTCAGAAATGTTTAACGAGCGATATTTGGGAACTAATCAAACAGACCACTGACATGTTGTTAAAGAAGGAATTCCAAGTATCTTGTATCATTTTATGATACATTGGTTTTCCAATGAGTGGAGTTTTACATGATTGTAATAGAGAAGAGGGTTTAGTGGATCATCAGTCAAATTTTTGACGCTTAGTCCAGTTTTCATTGTGAAAGTTTTGAGATCTGTGAATATTGAAGTATATGTTTTCAGAAAATGTCATTCACTTCAACATTCTTAAACAGCATGATCAGATATCCGAGAAGATTACTCATCGCCAACCAAAGAGATCTGAATTCTAAACTGGTGATTTTTCATGCATCACGACTGAAGCGAAAATCCTATACATTTCGGTGTATTATTCTTTGCACAGTGTCCATCGTGACTTTCAGTGGTGGTCTAGCTATGATCAGTTTGTAAATTTGGTTTTCCAATGAGTGGAGTTTTACATTTTTGTAATGGTGAAGAGTGTATACTGCATCATTAGTCAAATTTTTAACGCTTAGTCCAGTTATCGTGTGCATCGTGACTTTCAGTGGTGGACTAGCTATGATCAGTTTGAAAATTAAGCTAAGAGAAGAAAGTGATGGAGAATTATTGACGACTAAATTAACGATAAACAAATTTGAGGAAACGTTAGGTTAAATGCACTACTTTAGCACATAACTTCAGTCTGACACTGTTGAATCAACCAAATCATTACAGTTTACAGTATTCCGATTGATGTTACTCATTGGATTGTACAGTTTTTAGTATTTCTGTGGTTAGAAGTAGTCGATAAGAAAGCGATAGACTTGAATTTTGTGCTGTATAGAACTGGTCAACAAAATGATCCCGTAATTTCAAGGTGGTCCGGTGTTTAGGCGTTCGCGCACAATTCCGAATATGCCGGGTTCGATTCCTGCGAGGTGCAAGAGTCGTGGATGCACACTGCTGATGAATCCCATACCAGGACGAAACGGCCGTCCAATGCTTCCAGGTTTCTAATGTTGTTCTAACAATGATTGATCGATGATTTCAAATGTATAGAAATTACAATTGTTCGAAATCATATTTTGTACATATTTTCTCGCAGTCTTTATAGTTCACCAACTTTCAGTCATCATATGTTCCAACCAGGTTAGCTACTGCAGTCAGATTTGACAACCATCATATGTATATATATATACTCTATCTGTGAAATCAAATGGTCCGATTTTCAGTCCCGTCAAAGAATAGATAATGAGGAAGATATATCATTTTCTCCACTGGTTATGTTCCACAACTTGCTGTCACAGTAATGGCGAATGATTAAATTACAGTTGACATCCATAACTGTATAGTTTAAACAAATGTAAAACAAGTGTCTTCGTTGCCTCAAAATTGCACGGTTCAAAATTGGTTATAGTTTCCAAATGAAATTATTACAACAGGCACAAAGTTATACTCATTACACTGTATTTCAATAGTCGATGAGGGTGCACATTTGAATGATGATAGTTATCTCAGAACATAATTTGGAAAGAACAACTGAGAATATCCGGTGACTAGTCAGCATCACTTGATATTACTGATTAGACTAGCGTGTTTTTCAGTTTAACTGCTTACATGTGTGAATATTCGAACTGATTTTGATTAACTCATTTTCAAATTCCATCCAACCGCACGCTTAAATTTGTTGACGAAAACTGAAATATCACTTAAGCATAATCAAAGCGTGTTCAGCTACAGATATCTAGCCGTTGAATCGAATTATTTTGTTTATAAATCATTGAGTGATGAACCGAAAAACAATTAATTACATGGATTACAACACTGATTGCTCACCTTTGATTGATGCTTCCTTTGTTCCAAATTGTTTGATTGAATGAATTAAGGCAGCAGACAACTGTGGTATTACAGTGTTAAGTGGATTAAGGTGACTTCCCAATGAAAGTGATTGAATGATAATTTGAGTGACTATCTGAAAACTTGTTGTTCGGTATTTATCGTATCAACATTTATTAATTTTAAGAGAACTGAATTGAACAGTATTTCAGACAAACGAATTTGTGCATTGAAAAAGCACTTCTGTGTGTTTAGAGAAAATGTCACTGAGGGATTGAAGCTTCAGTCGTGTCACCAAGTTACGCAATTCATTGACTAAACAGAAAACAGTGAATTACGTTTCGCATCGAACTCCAACAGTCTCTGCGCATCTGTTAACATGTTACAAGATCAATATTTCAAATTGCTTCCGAAGATTATGTTTCTAGTAATGACTGGAGAGTACGGTAGAAAGTGGAAACAGATCACTCATTTTCTCATAGAAAAGTAGATGGAGTATGGCATTCAGCATTAACTATGATGGTACTGTTCAACAAATGAGTAGTATAAATATTATGATGCACATTGTGTACATTGGCGAAAACTCATGTATGCGACCATGCATGTAGTCATCGCTCATGAGATTCAACTAAATGTTTTTACCTATAAATAGGCGTGAAGTCAATTGTGTGGACTGCAGAGAATGGTGAGAGCTACATACCTGACGCAACACTTTCAAGAGACTTCTTCTTGAATAGATCACAACAATATAGAGAATTATACTGAGTGGTGCCAGTTGAACACATATCACAAACATCGTGTGACACGCACATCTTTAATCACTAATATACAGCTGATACTGTCTCATAACAGTTGAAAAGTATCACTCAAATAACTGATACGAAATCCCATCAAACACTTTAAATGTGATACATACGAATTTTATTTACGGAAGTCAGTCGGTAGTCAAGTTATTCACTAAATCTCAGTTGTACACATTTTTGGTGAAGATTTGAATGCGATTAAATTTGTTGTTATTGTATGTGTCGGAGTAGAACTGAACGAAATAAAATAATTTCATTGTTCTCTGCAAACTTCGTCGTTCTTCAAGAGAGAGCTCACTTTTATTTATTTGTTGTGAAACTCTTCACCGAGATCCATGTAATACCAGTTGACGATTCCTGAATACGACCGAATGATCAGAAAAAATTTCACTCCCTGCTAGTTACTAAACTGTAGTCATTATATTTGATTTTCTGAAAAGCCCATCTATCCATATCCATTATTTCCGATAATTTCACTATATGTTCCAAATCCTACAAGCTGATTCCTGATATTCATGACATTCTGTATACAAAAACCATAGTTTTGATCTTGGTATTTATCGAAATTCAAATTGTACATCGAAATCATTTCTGAATCACACAGAATGACATTCTCCAACATTGCACAAGTGCATGACATTTAAACAAATGAATCTCGCCGTTATTTCAATGAGAGTACATTTATTTTGTACCACTGAATTTCACAAGTATTGATTTTTCTCGAAATCACTGTTAACACAGTGTTTCATATAGCTTTTCGTGTAATTAATTAATCAAGCATTTATATTAGAGGTAATATTCTGTAGAGATATCACTCCACTGATTGGAGTCTTCTATCTGAAGTTTGTGCTGATGATGTCGTTCAGAAGAACGATGAAAGCTCCACAACCAAAACATCCAGCTGAGAGAACCAAACACCACCACAATCATCCACCTGAGCTACAAATCTTCTCCACCATCTCAATATCATTCCACTTTATATATAGCTACGCAGTGAATTGAAGAGCATTTACCGTAAAATAGTAGTTGGTGATCTCCCTATGTGCCCCAATTATAGCTTTCTTGTACAAAAGCTTAACCAATAAACAGAATGCGAATAAGTTGACTATAATATCATCAGTTTGCGATACCTTCTTGAGCAGTAATCTCATGGATGCTACTGATATGTTTCATCAGCACACTAGTTTGGGACCTCTGAAAACGACCAAGACTCAAGTCTGACAAATTATCTGTACCTGCTGATGGATTAAGATATCTGAAGAAGCGTAAATTTGAGTGAAACAGCTGTAGCTTATAAATAGATTAAAGAAATTCACGGATTGAAGCCATGAATGCTTTGTCATCGCCTAATAATCACTCAGAAATGCAAAACTTAATTCTTATTTTCGACATCGATGTTGATTCTTATAGTTTTACTGAACATACTATAGGTTGAAGACGCTCAGTTGCGCGTTCGCAACAGATAACATTTAGGTGCCCCATACTACTCATCCGTCATAACAAATAATCATTTCAGATTGTCGAATTGATGACATAATAATTATCTTTCAAACCTATTTTCAAACTCCCTCATTTTCGACTTCTAGTTTGACCATGTTACAGTCAAAAGCGTTCCTAAGCGTTGATTATTTTTGACATCTTTAGTGGTGAGTTCAACGTAATCTGGCAAACCAGACGATAATCTGTGAGTTAGTTCCTCATTTTAACGTCGAATCACTTACTGTAGATCATTGCTGTAGTAGCGTGAATACATCCGAACTGACACCACATTTTAAGTCACGAAAGTGTACGTTGT